CTGGTCTGAAAGAATCAGTTCTGATTTCCCATAGTGTTTCTCTGCCCCCATGCCATCGGCGTGGTCGTTATTAGATCACACCATGACCTCATAGTGACTCATTGAGGCCATTCTACCAATGCTATAATTTTAGCAAGGTACAATTAGAATTATGTAATAGGAAGGTATTTACAATTGGCAAATAAATTCTGCTGATAAAAAGCCTTAAATTAAAGGTTTTCTTCTTCAATGGGGACACTTCACCTTCATAATTACCTTTGGTAAGGGTATTTTCCCAAGGTTTCTCTGTCATGTATGTGATCTGACTTTTTTTTTTGGCTGGGGAAGTGTTGAGTTCTAGTATTCTTCTCAGGATCTGAATTCTGAACCAAAGGTATAGAGGTGGGAATGTAGAGGAAGGTATGGATTGAAGAGGTAATTGTTAGTAGGAAATAGGGCAAAAAGCAAACAGTGTGAGAATGGCATGAGGGACAGGGCAGGTTTTAAGTGAGCTGCTCAGGTGTCTGGGTGAATTTTTCTATCCCTCTATATGCAAGATAGGTGCTAACAAAATAGAAGTAGGTATAGAGATAGGGAAGAGTCCAATGCCCATGAAATATTAGAACATCTCATTAGGTAGTTGGAAATCGAGATCTGCTGTCCTGACATATAAATGTGTGGGGCATCAGTGTAAATGTGGTACTTGAAGCTTAGGGAGTGGATGAGATATTAAGGAGACTCTGTGTGAGAAGTGGATTTCATACAGAACCCGGAGGAACATTAACATTGCAAGGGATACCAGAATAAGAGGACAAGCAGGAAAGATTCAGAAGGGCAGATGCAGAGGCAGCAAGATAATCAGGAGGGAGTCATGCCACAAAAGCCAGGAAGGAAGAAGGTTTCAGAAGAGAAATGTTAATAGTGACCATTGCGATTATTTCCTAACTGGTCTCTCTGCCTCTAGTCCCTTCCCCCATCCTCCCTAGCCTCATTCTGCTGTCCAAATGCTCTCTCCTAGTACACAAGTCTATTTGCTTTCTTAGACTTGTAGTTATTAGATGTCTGTAGCATTCAGACTTTCATGTATTAAAGAATTAAACCTAAGCCTAATTCATCACCGGAGCCTAATTGGCTTATTGAAAGACCAGTCCTGGGCCTCATACCCAGAGATATTAATTAGGATATCTGGATCTGAGAATTTGTCTTTTTAAAAAGGCCCCCAGATAGTTCAGTTGCAAACTGTCTATTGACAGTGGTTTATGAAACAGTGGCCTAGGGGGATGAAGTTCAAGTTCCCTAGTAAAAGACTCATGGCCTTTAGCCTCTGGCTTCCATCTCCATTTTCCTCCTCACCACTCCCTCTTTCCACCAGCCCACCTCCATCGTGGACTCTGTTTTCTAGCCTTGCCAGAATCACAAAGATAAGTTGGAGTTGGTGGAGAGAAAAGTCCTTTCTGGAAAAGGGACCAGCTTATGCAGAGGGACCAAGGTGAGGCAACATAATGTGAGAAAATAGGGACCAGTCCAGTTTGAATGGTTGTAGCAGATACAAAGAAATCAGTCTGGAAAGATGGCCTGGGGCCAGACTGTGGAAAGCCCCTAATACCAGATTGGGGAATTTATAACTGTTCTGCAGCAAAGTGGGCTGCTTGGCTCTTTCATGCTTTGTTTTATTTGTTTTCTTTTTCTATCCTGGATGTAAGTATCCGTACCTCCTTCTTATTATTGAGACTGTCATTACTGTTGATTTTTTTTTTTCCTGAGTCTGGACTTCATGTGGAAGAATCTAAAAATGAAGACTTGAAAGAAGGAAGGGAATTTTAAATTTCTGGAAGGATTAAAGAATCTTGAATTATCCAGACTTAAATTTAACCACAGTCGTGAGGCAATTAATCAACTTTCAGTTTTCCTAAGCCTGGTTAAGAGGCAGGTAAGACACTGTGACTGTGCTCTTAACCTTTGTGAAAGAAAAAAAGCAAGACATAGTTCAAGTGACTGGAGTTCTGACTCCTCACCATCAAACTGAACACCATGCATTTTTTTCTCCAAGGGAAGATTTCAGCCTAGCTGGGTCCAAGAGAACATACGAGCACCTTATGCTGAACACATACTTAGAGAACTGGATGGGTTTTGCCATCTGCTAAGCCTCACAAAACCTCCAGTTTGAAGTTGAAGCGATGTCAGAAGCTGATTTAAGCAGCTTACATATGTTGCACTGCAGGAAAAACATTGGACGTTGGGGACTCTGGAAAACAATGCGAGGCATTTGGGGTCTATAAACACTTCGTGTTTGTGACAAAACATGCCCAGTAGCCATAGGGCAACACTTTTTCCCCCTTAGATTTAAGTGTAGGTTTTTATCCTTTGCTTAAAGTATTTTCACATTATCTTGTGTATTTGCTGGAACCATGATCATCATTCATGCAGCAGGTAAGGTTATCTTAGTTAATCCCAACTTTATCTTGTTGCTTTAAGTTTGACAGAAAATGCCAGTAGTATGGCATACTTTGGAAAATTATTCTAGGGATTTGCCATTACTGATAATGTTCTTGGAAAATCTAGATGCATAATAAATGAATACATTTATAGTAACCAACCTTTAAAATTCTTTACAGATTCCACATGCACACTGGACATGGTGCAAATCACTCAGATTGTTCTCCAAGGCCTGTGGTGAGACTGTACTTACCTTTCTAGTCATATGTCCCCCTCTTTCTTGTACTTTGCTATCCAGTGAACCTGTATGACTGTCATTCTCCAAACACATTAGATTTTTAAAAATCTCGAATTGCATTTCTTTTTCCTTCCTTTCCTGCTTCTCCCCATCAACTCTCTCTGTTGATAACTTAACTATTAATAAGAACCAGTTCAAGTTCCCTTTGTCCATGGAATCTTTTATAATAACCTGTTAAAATGTCCTTATAGTACTTAGCATGGTCTGCTTTGCTTCATAGTTATAAATATATTCAAGCTCTGCTTTTTATGGGCCATCCTTTTCTTTATCATACAGTAACAATCCATATTCTCTTCATGTGTATTGCAAATCCCCCTCCTGTGAGCCTTGGGAAATTATGAAAATTTCTAAGGCATGAGTATCAGCAGTTGTAATAAGGGTGGATACTATTTTTCCATTATTTTGCAGCTTTTAAGAAATGAGTGATTTCCTATTTAAACTCAAATTTTGGAATTCCCTGAGCATAGTTGTAGATCTAGACACTTTTATACACCCAGAAACAACTGTTTAGTGGTGAGTATTGGCCAGACTTTTAGAGACACATGAACTCTTCAATAATCCACTCAACCCTTAATGGTTTATGTTTTCTGCCACAGTCCCTCTAGGCATACGCTTGTGATTCTCAGGCTAATACATTTCCCACATTTTTTCTTTTTGTTCCTAGGCACATTTCACTCCAGATTTCTCTGCTGATATCCTTTTATCATCTCATAATTGCTACTCCATGCTGCTGAAGGTATTCGTCTATCCCTCTCATCCTCTGTGTGGACATATATCCCTTCTGTAATTCCTCAAAGTGTAAATAACATTAGACTGTGGTGTTTTGACAAAATTTTCCTATAGTATGAAGTAGGAAACTTTAAATACAGATATCTGACACCACAGTTCTTGGAGTCTGTTTTCTATGTCCCTTACCAGCAATTTACCTGGGCCTACCAATAACTTATCCATCCTATACTGGAGAACCTTCTTTCTGTATTTTCTCCCTATATCCCATCCCAAATAGAGGAAGCAAAAAACAATTCGCAGAATATTCTCTGTAGAATTGTACACCTCTCCCAGTGAAGTTAGTTTTCACATAATGAAATGGAATGCATTAACATTTCTTCCTCAAATGAAGGATTGCCCAAGAACCGTGGGTCAATACTGGTGTTACTAATGAATAAAAATCTACATTAAAGTGGTGAACAAAGATCTAAGGCACAGCTCTCTAAAGTCAGATTTTAGCTTCCACCTTTGAAATGTAGCAATTTCTTAGAACAAGTGACATAAAGGTAGGTTCTCCCCAATGAGTGGAAACTGAATAATTTATCACTAGCATTGTTTAGATTGCCAGTGCATGGTGATAATAAAAAAAGCCTGACTTTCTTTAAATTGATTTTATTACTGCTTTTAAATCTTTGACAGATAATATACCCTCTTATGGCCTGCAGAGGAAGAATAGTAGGTTGTCGAGGGGGGCTTTTCCCCTTACCAGCCCCTCCCTGCCACTGCTTGGGACTCTCCCAAATGGCAAATCTCCTATATTTAATAACTTAAAGAACCAGATTCTATCTGCAAAGACATCAGAGAAAGTGTTGGCAGCATTTTGGGGGTGGAAGGGAATGACTAAATATTTGTTTACATACTTTCCTGATTTCTAGAAAGGTAGGTTTCATTCCTTCAAGACGAAACTCTTATTCAGTTGAATTTCTGTGCAGTGTTCCATCTAGAAAGCATCTGGCCAAAATGGGGTGCTCACAGGGTGTTTGTATTTTTGAGTTGAGTTAAATATATATCCTCTTTGTTTAAAATTTTTGCCTTGCCAAGAATCATGGAGTTTCTTCTCAAACTTTCACGGGCAATCCCATGCACATCTAGTGTATCAGTTTCTGTTGAGAAAGTGTGGAGTAGAAGGATTTGGAGTAGAGGTTGTGAATCAGAACACTGGTTCAGGCTACCTTTCTTGCGCAGGGCCAAGGAGGACAAAGGTTTCACGTCACATACAACAATGAAAAGAAAGCTTGGAAACAGGCCACCTGTCTTCCCCACTGTCAGCTGTGACTTTGGACAGGTTATTTAGTTCTCTATGCCCTAATTTTCTCACTTGCAAGTTGGAGAGAAGAGTACTCTGTTTTTAATTTGAGTTGTCATGCAGATTAAATGAGGTAAGTCAAGTACAGCATTCAGCAGGATGCAGGGACCAGGAACGCTTGTGCACTTTTGTGGCTGTGGAGTCTGGCGCAAAGCAGCACAGAGTAACCTGGCAGAACTTAATCGGATTAAGCACTAAGGACACACTTGTGCAGTGCTCGCTTTGGCAGCACGTATTCCAAAACTGGAAGGATGCAGAGACGATTAGCATGGTCCCTGCGCCGGGATGACATGCAAACACACACACACACACACACACCCATACACACACACACACACATTATGACTTTGTGATTCCATTTGTAGAAATAGAGCCGAGAGAAATTTTCACACAGCACCGTAGGGCAAGTTAAGTGTCTTCAGTTATGTAGGGATGGAAACTGATATTTACGAAATTTCTACCAGGTGCCAGACACTCTACAGAGGCTGCTTCATTTAATCCTCAAGGCATCATTACAAGATTATTTTATCTGTTTAACAATTGGGAGAAATGATTGTCTGTGAGGTTCCATAACCTGACAAGGACACTGTGCTGATAATGGGCAAAGCTGGGACTCTAACTCGGGTGTAAGTTTTACTCCATTCCAATGTCTCATGCAGAGTCTGAAAAGAATAATTCTCTCTCTTTTGTTTCCTTCATAGATTGTTGTGCGGATGAGTTCTTATATCACATGACTTTCCAACTGTGTCTCCATGTCCTCTTCTCTTCTATTTTCACATATTATCCCTCTTTCATCCCATCATCCCCCCTATTCTTTATAATCTATGCTTTTTTCCTCATTTCAGTGAAGATATTCTGAGATATCTATCTATCAATCTATATATCTATATCTATATCTATATATCTTAGATTAAAAATAAGAAAAATTCAGTTATACTAACATTAATAGTTACAAATTAAAGAGATTGGAACATCAGCTACTATTTAAAATGGAACAGATCAACTGCCTTTTCAGATGGCAACCAGGTCACACGATTCACTTCCTTCTTTTTTAAAGTTGACTCAGCTGAATAAAGCGTTCTGGGTTTTAATGAGAGGGCTTTAGGATAAGGTCCAAGTTCATTGATTCCTGATATATCCATACATATTCTCACTTACTTTTGTAAAGAATAAACTGTGTCTCTTTAACTTTGAAAATGGAATTTAAGTTTTCACTGATTGAGTAATTTCTACTCTCAGGCAAAGGACATTTGTCATATAGCCACATGTTTTACTAATGGATTGGTCAGTTGTATTGAGTTTCCAGGTGACATTAATTTTCCAAACATTAATTTATCATATATGATCTGATGATGATTTAGTATTGCAGGGGTCCCGTGGACTGCTTACAAACACATGCACACAAACACACAAATACCTCATCCTTGGGCATAGTTGCATAAAGGTGAATTAGACATTTCATAACTTGTAGGTTATGGTACAAGACAGCACAGAAAGTTTCATTATGAGAGAAAAATGCTATGGCCGAAAAAAAAATAAATAAAAGAGGGATGGAATAATAACAAATGTTCTTCATTTGTATTTGGTGCTGGACTCTGTGAATTATTTATGTCTCTGGGCAAGGCCTGGGAAGTATTTCAGTGAAGCCTAATTTGTCAAGGTTACTTCTACTTGACCATATTTTTCCTAACTATATCTTTCTGGATAGTACCACACATAAATATTTTCATTGTGTTCTGCATTTATTTGCAATATTGATGGCACTGTAAAATGTGGGGTATTAGCACCTCTTTAACCAATGTCAGGCAAGAATTAAGATCGGAAACACCAGTGTCTTCCTTTTAGAAATATAGAGGTTAACTGATTATTATTCAGCTTTTGTGGCTGATGAGCCAGCTATAAGTCATACTGTGGAAAATTTATTGTCTAGAAATCATGCTACTGAATATTTTATCTTACTGGAAATGTGCTATAAAGGGGCTGCAGCTTTAATCAAGTACATGGCGATGTTGCAATATCTTGGTTGCACAGTCACATGAAAAAGTTGAGGTTAAGCAAAACTAAAGGCCTGGCTTCTGGGGAGAGCGGTGGTTGTGGCTGTGTATGTAGACATGATTCCTCTAGGAGGTCATTTTATTTTGCCTTTGACTTGAAATCTCGAAATATGTTCCAAAGGAAAACCTTGGCTCATTGTCATGTTCGGGTCGCAGTTACACCAGGTAGAGACGTGTGAGTGACATGGCAGTCAGGGAGGAAAGAAAGAGGAGAATCAGACATTGTCTGCTCTAGTGTTTTCGGTTTCTATTTCTGATGTCTGTTCAAAATCTCACAGAAAATCCGAGGAAATTCCCTGTTTACAGAGGAACGACTGTTCTAAGGGCAGAGATGAAGTGCCCAATTTGTACGTGGGGGTGCCTTAAGTGTGCACTTGTTCTCAACACCTGGTTGCGCGCGTGGGGAGTGCCTCAACCCCTCCCCTCTGCCACCCCAGCCATGGATGCTTGAGGGCTTCTGTTGTTGTATGGGGTTTTGTTTTGTTTAGACATTGAAGAGAGGAAATGATTGTTTCTTGTTGGATCTGACTTTACCTTCAAATCTTGGGATTATTGGACAACTCTATCGTGATGCTTTTATTCCTATTCAGTGACTAAGGAACATAAGAAAGGGATTCTGAAGGAGGTTTCAGAAAAATAGCAGAATCTGAAAAGACTCTAGCTGGGAGAAAAAGACCCATAGGGAGGTTAAAAATACCACTGAAATATTATCAAACCAGCATCAAACTTGTTTTGACCTTGTTTAGTTACTTTTAGTGTCAATCTTATTGTTCTTTTATAATTTTTCCCCAAAGCCTAATTCTTACCCCTTAAATATCTTTTTCCCTGTACCCCTCATAACCTGGGAGAGCCTAGCTGCTTGTTGCACAAGATTTAAAACCACCTTACTGAGCCTTACGGTCGCTAGATCATTCTAAATCGTTGGTATGTAAACCAGTGCTGTTCAGTAGAACATTTTTGGTGATGGGAGTATTTTGTACCGTGCTGTCTGATGCCATAGCCACTAACCTCATGTTGCAATTGGGCCTTGAAATGTGGTCAGTGTGCCTGTGAAACTAATTTCTTATTTGAATTTAAATAGTCATATACAACTATTGGCTACCATGTTGAAACAGTATAGCTATATACATATATTCAGTACATATAATCAAGTTGACACTTGTTTCTTGAGCAAGTTCAATGATACTCGTTTAAAAATATTTCATGCACGTATTGCATGGAGCAGTGGGTGTTATACGCAAACAATGAATCATGGATCACTACATCAAAAACTAATGATGTACTGTATGGTGATTAACATAACATAATAATAAAAAAATAAATAAAAATAAAAAACTAATGAAGTACTGTATGGTGATTAACATAACATAATAAAAAATATTTTTCTAGGTAAGATGCCATTTATTGCATTAAACGTAATCTGAATATACTCGTTTTTGTATGTTTGTGTTTGTTGGTGTTGGGAGGAGTGGGTAGTGGAAGGAGAGATAGAGCCAATTATATTTTTATGTTTATATATATTATAATTAAGAAAAGTTCAAGCTCTTTTGTAGGGAATATGCTTTACCGTTAAGAATTTGGGTAATCTTGGGGCGCCTGGGTGGCTCAGTTGGTTAAGCGACTGCCTTCGGCTCAGGTCATGATCCTGGAGTCCCGGGATCGAGTCCCGCATCGGGCTCCCTGCTCGGCGGGGAGTCTGCTCCTCCCTCTGACCCTCCCCCCTCTCATGTGCTCTCTGTCTCTCTCATTCTCTCTGTCTCAAATAAATAAATAAAATCTTTAAAAAAAAAAAAAAAGAATTTGGGTAATCTTGGGGCGCCTGCGTGGCTCAATCATTAAGCGTCTGCCTTCAGCTCAGGTTGTGATCCCGGGGTCCTGGGATCGAGTCTCACGTGGGGCTCCCTGCTCAGCGGGGAGCCTGCTTCTCCCTCTCCCTCTGCCCTACCACTCCCCCTGCTTGTGTTCTCTCTCTGTGTCAAATAAATAAATACAATCTTTGGAAAAAAAAAAAAAAAAGAGTTTGGGTCATCTCGTAAAGGAGGCCCGGTGGTGTGCTACTGTAGAACGAACAGGAGTGACAGTGACACTCTACTTGTCTGGCAGTCAGCGTACCATTAACTTTGCTTATAAGAAGGGAAGCTAAGAAGCCAGAAATTCAATGAAAGAGGCTTCTGAGTGGCTAGAGTATACGGCCCCAGATGTTGCCGACAGCTTTAATTTCCTATACCCTTCTACACATGAGCCCTGTGCTCTATCTCACTAGACTGTCACCTCCTCCTTTTACAAAATGTGGAGTTTTCCATCCTGCCCTTAGACTCGATTGTGTTTCTCTTTGCTCCTTTCTCTGTCTGCTGAAATCCTATCCACCTTTGAAAGGCAAGCCCATGCTCTTTGTATTTGGGCCCTTGGGCTTCTGCTTCTTAAACACTTTGCCTGCGAGTTCTTTCTCTGCAGCTAACAACCTAATAAAACATGAATGGACCCAAAAAGGGAGGAGGCTGCACAGGTTTAAAGTACACTAGAAAGTTTACTGCTGCTCAAAAACTGCTTTCCAATTAGAAGCATCATTTTCTTTGACAGGTAGGAGTTAGAAAGTGTTATGTACATGGAGACACAAGGAGGATCAGGCTTCACAGAGTCCCCGGCTCTTCTCATCTCTTTCCACTCCCATTTCCAGTATTTATAGTTTCCTAACTGGTCCCCACTTTTAGGATATGATCATGTGTTTTATTCTCTTATTCACAAAAATATTTGATTATCAATTTTCATTGACCTCAAATCACTAGATAGAAAGTGTTTCCCATAACAAATTTATATTCCTCCATTTGTTCTCTACTGCTTTCAAGTGGACCGGCTTGCAGTGTTTTTTTCTTTCCCCTTAATACCGTACTTAAGTTCATAAGAGTTAGCCAACAGTCTTCAGTTTCCTTAGATTTTGATCTCTTGTCCTCAATTGCTATAGATTTTGTGAGTGTGTCTTCTGCACTCAGAAGACAGTCCTTGAGAGTTTAACCAACTGCTCTGCTGTTACAGAGCAAGGAGTGCCATCTGCTCAGCTCAGGCTCTTGGAATCCTCACACTTCTCCCCTTTCCCAGACTCAGTCAGGTCTGTCACTTGCAACATCTCACCCCTGGAAGTGTATGTACGAGTTAGGGTTATTTGGATTTCAAGTGGCAAGATCTCAAATGGACTCAGCTTCAGCAAAAGATGAGATTTATTGAAAATATACTGGACTATTCTATAGAACGATGATATCCTGGGAAGAAG